TTTTGTAAATCATAACTTATTTTTTTTAAAATTTCGTAGAGTGGTTTGAATCTCCCGCTTCTCCCATCTCTCCCTCCCGTAGATATACTATGGATATGGACGTAATGTTTCGATGAAATTTCTCTTGTCCCGTTTCAAGTCACGAAAACACAATGAATATCGCGGTTGTAGATCTCTGTACATTCGTACATGGCGTGGCGACGTCTTGCAAAAAGGCGAGGAAACTTCCGCCGAAGTTTAATTCGTCGTTTTTATCGGTCCCGCCGGGCTCTGATTATCAGGAGCGCAATTAACCGCGACTGTCCGATTGCGAGGTTGGCTTTGAAAATTTGAGTAGCCACTTGTTGAACCGCCACAAGATTTGCATTCCTTTTTCCGCGGCTTTTTCGCCGTTCCCATCTCGATCGGAAAATAGCTGCTTGACGGCATCGACCCCTTACGTTATCGTTTACAACCACTTGTTGAACGAACGTTATTATGTGTCGTCCTCGCCATAGTTACGAAATTTTCGGTCTCCTTTACGGCGACAAATGCAAACATTAAGCTCGCCTCGCGATAATTACACGCCTATATGAAAAAAACGATTTTGCTAAAATATTATCTAAAAATTTAGCCCGATATAAATTTGAAGATAATTTTGAACCATCGAAATTGTTACGTAGAACACTTAAGCGTGATGTTATTGCAAAAATTTTGGATATTTCAAATAACTTTGTACGTCCTATACAGAAAAAAATTAGCCTTAAATCAAGCCTTAAATATTCTCATATATAAGCAAGAATATTATAATAATTTAATAATTTTTAATAATTTTAGTCTTAATTTGACTGAATTTATATTAACGCAAGTATTATTTTTGCTTAACTCAAGATTAAAAATCTTTTATATGAAGATAGCATTCTTGCTTATGAGAACACTTATAGTTGCAACAATACAAATTCAATTAATTCAAGATTATATTTTCTTGCTCGATATACGAGAATATTAGTGAATTTATCTTGATTGAAGATTAATTTTTTCTGTGATTGTAACGTTTTCTTACTTATATACGAGAATGTTAATGAATACTATCTTGATTTGAGACTAATTTTTTTCCGTGTACACGATTATTTTGAAGAAAATTACTTATATATCTGTATCTAACCAAATTTTAGACCAAGGTTTAGTTTCAACAAAACCGTTCTGTCTGCATTATTCAAAAATCCTTTAGCGTAAATTGACAGTTTGCTCTTTCGGAGCTATTTATTAAAGTGCCATTCGCGATATCTAAAGCGATTGAAACTTAGAAAGTTGAACTTTAATAGAACATTGGAAGAATATTTCATATATCGCAATCCTTTTTCCCCGGCCGGTCGCTGCATCGAGAAGATTGGCGTGAATTATTCAATTTCCACCTCTTTGCTTCGCGCCCGCTTTGAAACCCGGCGGCGTTTCGTTACGCAAAGTGTCGATGTTATAACGCGCCTCTCTCATCGTGATCTCTAATCTTTTCTCCACTGTCCCCTCTCCCCCTCCCCCCCGTCTCAACACCCGCGTCCGCGGTCGCGGGAATAGGGAAGCGCCCCCCCTCCCCCATTCCCCCGAGTTATCATTGGAGGCGCATCGAGCTCTACGCGTCGCCAGAGAGGCGAGATATCCACCGTGAGGGGAAGCCGTGTAATCTATTAAAGATCCATCTTTTTCCCCAGCTTCTAATCCCACGGAATTCCACGGCCTCCCGCAGATTAGCCGTACCGTTAACCTTTGAATGACGGTTAATTCCGAGCGCGCCGGGCGAGGAAGGCGATATCTCCTCTTTCCGCCGTTGTGCGCCGCCCGCCGTAAAATGCCCCGACCGGCCGCGAATTAACGCGAGATCGCGAGGGACTTATACCGTTTTCTGAAAATCACTACCTGCAACGAGAAAATTGCCACATTGCTCGGTAGCCGACGTCCTGTCCGCTTTATAGCTACATTAGGCCCGCGCGGGATAGAGACGGCCGGCGCCTCTCCCGGACAGATGAACGGATGGACGGACGACGGACGGACGATAATGTTGGACGTTTGTTCTTACATTAGTAAGCGGCGAATAAAGTGGAAAGTGCAGGTGCTTACTTATCGAATCTCGCTCCTGGAGGAGATACTCTTAGCCACTCCGTATCTACGGCAGGCGTGTCGCGGCTTAGCGATGTGTCAATTGCGCCGTAGCAAAACGAGAGGATAGAAGCTGAGATAAATGAGCTTCCTCAAGAGGAGTCTCTCGGTTATTACAACCCCCCCCCTCCCCACCCCTTCCCTCCGCTCTCCGCCCTCCGCCCTCCTTCGCATCGCGGAGAGGACTCATGTCGCGAGGAAAAATGTCATATGAATTTACACTGTGGATCACGCAGTGGTCGATCCGCATGAGCGTAAATAAGCGGTTTTATGCAAAAAAATGCGCCGAGCTGAATTTTTTCTCGTGCCGTCTTGCGAAAGAGTCAATATTGTTGTGCAAACAGAAGCGTGTTTCCGCTACTGGTTCGCTCTTGGACTAATGCCGGTCACAATAGCGGTACTTTCCGCGGATAAATATTCCCTACGAGGGAAAGTTTCACAGGATATATTTCATCAGCTGTATCGGGCTTTTCATTCGGACAGCTGAAATGAAATAATTACGTTTAAATTACGCTTTAAATTTCTCGTTAAAAAAAAAAGAAAAAAAAAGAAGAAGTACTCTAATAAATTCTCTTGCAACTCTTCATCCGTTTTTCCGCGGAAAGTTATTATAACGAAACGAAATAAGGGAGAATTATGAGAAAGGATTAAAAAGATGTTATACGTTTTATCGCAGGATCCTCACCCAGTCGTCTGGCGACGAGCAGAACGACTGAGAGCGCCGACGAGAGGATCGCCCCTGTTCCGGAATCTCCTAAACAAAAGGTATGCCACGATATTATGATTGCAACACGATCAATCAGTCGATCGATCCAGGCATAGACACGCTTCTCGTAACTTTCTTTTGCCGGCTCTCTCTTTCAATGAGCAGCGTCATTTATGTAATTTTATATACGTAGTAGTTTCGTAAGTTCTCTCGCGGGCTTTTGGAAGCTCCCTCGAGCTTTTCCGGCGCGGAGAACCGTCGCGTCCCGACACCGCTGAGCGATACTCCTCGCTAACTTACGTAATCGCGAGTCGTCTTTACTCGGAAATGCGCGTGTATTTTTGTAAATCGCTTTATTCCGCTGCACTTTTTTGTTTTTCGCGGGAAGCGCGAAGCGCGATATCGCGAATTAGCATCGCGCCCGAAACAGACCTCGTCGAGCCACACGTCGTTTACGCGTTCGACGTCGCTCGACATGTCGATCAATCATCTCTCGTCCTCACTCTTTATCTCTCCTTCTTATTTTTTCGCCTCTGTCTAATTACGTATCGCGTATGCATTGCGAGACCGGTCGCGACCCACTTCGCCGTTTCATTTTCGGAAAGCGCGCATATAAGTGACTTCTTTAAAAGAGTCGAATTCGGAAGAGTCGAATTTCCCCGTGATTTTTCTCGCAGCCGAGAATCGCGAAGAAAGTCTCCCTGCGACTTTCGTATCGTCGTCCGCTCGTGACGCGGTTTACCTTGACACCGGAGTCGTCCCGCGTTGCAACAACGGCCAACAACAAATGCCATCGCCAGATGTGTTTGCGTAATCACGCGCGCATTATCGACACACGCGCGCTCGCGCGTCCCCCTTTTCCCGTGCCTTTTTTTTTTTATATTCACCCTTTTTCCATTATCTCGCTTGATGACCGGTCGAAGATGAGAGCGTAGGCGGAAGGAGATAAATCTGCCCCGTCCATCACGATCGCACACACGTAATAACACACGCGCGCACCCCGCACGGACGATCGATCGCATTTTTGTGTCTATGCATTCCCGCAGGATCCATCGGTTTCGT